TGTTTATAATCAATAAAAACAACGAACTAAAAGCTATATATATATATATATATATATATATATATATATATATATATATATATATATATGCCTAGGTTATTCTATTCAAAGTAATTATTGTGTTATTGTATGCATAAATATGGGCCAATCAATTTTATTTATTTTAAGAAAGTGATTAATATATATTATTGAATTAAATATAATTGAAAAATATCATCTTAATTAATTACAAGGGTAATTTAGTCAAATAATATACATTTAATAAAGGAAAATTGCATTTTTTAAGGGATCATAGATTCTATTAATTTTAAAAATCCGATTTTACGAATTATAATTCTTTTAATTCGGACATTCTGACAGAATATGTTTATGAGTATATTCAAAAATAAAAATATTCTTGAACCATAAATAATAAAAATATTCTTGAACCTATTTCTTGATCATGAATTTAAAAATTTCTTGTAGAATAACAAATTCTTGAACAATCAATTGAAGAATAAAAACAAAAAATACATTATTTCTTAGAGAATACGGGTAACAATTGTTAAGAATTACATTTATTGTTAAAGAATAAAACTAAAAAAACTTTCAAAACGGGAAAGAAAACATCAAAATCTAACAACGACTAAAACATTCTAAAAGAATAATGTTGCTTAGAATCACTTTCACTTTTATGGTCCGTTCTTCAAGCATCAACTTCTGTGATTCCAACAGAATTGGAATTCGTGATTCAATTCCAACAGAATTAGAATTCGTGATTCCATTCCAATAGAATTGGAATCTCACCAATATCATCCATTGAATCATCTACATAAACATAGTTGATACCTTTTCAGAATTCAACCTTGTCAAGATCCTGCACTGTCCATATAAATGAAGTGTTAAATCAGAAAAAAAAAACATAAATTGAAATATGAATCAATTCATAAAATGCAGCCAAAAATCAAGTTAAAATCAAAACAAATCCTAAATTGTATACTAAAAATCATGTCAAAATCAAATCGAATCTGAGGCGATCAGATTTTATATATAATTCCAAGTTAAATGTGCAATGAAAGACCTCCCCTCACCCATCTTTCTCTCGGTGAAGACAGAGAAGCCGCATCTCTCCTTCCTGAGGATCATTTTCGTTGCTCCCTTGTTCCTTCATTAATTGATGCTAGAAACTCCTCATTGGTGGTGTTGTTTTCTCTAACTGAACAAGGAGGCAGTAGCCTCGTGATTTATTCCCTCACATGTTCCTATCGATCACCACAGGGACAATCCTTCTCACCTCTAGTGGTTGCCTCTCCACCTGTCAAATATCGAAACCAAGCACCTTACCTTCCATTGATTCATGTCAAAAAAAAAGAAGAAGAAAAATCAGAAGCAACATGGAGGTTGCTGGAGAAGCCCCCATCCGCTCACCTCTTTCCACCATCGACGAGCAACAGACCCTTTTCCCTCACACCTTTCCCTTCCTTCCCCATCAACCATCGCTTCTGCCTACCTCCTCCCAAACCTTCTTCTGACCTCCTCCTCTTCTCACCTTACAGTCGGACAAGAGGGAACAAAAGCTCGTTGCTTCAGTCTCGTCGACCCCGAAGATGCTTCCTTAGCCTGCAATCGATCGACATCCATTGGACCTTGCAGCCGCTTCGTGCTTTCCTTCTCACCTTCATCGATGTACAAATACATGTGTCAACGCCCATGAAATCAGAAATCAAGAAATCAGACTTTCTTTCCCCTTCTTTCTTCATTCGAGCCCTAACTATGTGCGAGTGTGTGTGTATCGTTACTCTTAAATCAGAATTGCAGAAGAACATGTAGAGGCGATAATGGCTTGGTATTTTTTTTGAAGATGGCGAAGAGATGAAGGGAATAATAGCTTGTGTTCAGTCAAGATCCAAACTTTGGATCGTGGTGGCTGAAAGCTTTCGATCGAATCCTACGGGGGGTTTTTCAAAGTGACCTCGGTGGTAATTAAAAGGGGATAAATTAGGTTAAAATCAACTAGCATAATTATAGAAAAGTATTTGGGGAAGTTGTTTATAAAATTACCTAATTACCCTTATTTATTTATTTAATTATTTATTTATATTTTAAATTTTGATTGTCCCACATTTATGCATACAATAACACAATAAATACTTTAAACACCTGAACCTAGCTCTCTCTCTCTCTCTCTCTCTCTATATATATATATATATATATATATATATATATATATATATATATATATATATATATAAGTCTCTTGACAAGAATAGTAAAAGAACACAATAACTTCTAAACACCTAAGTAAAAGGAAACACTACTACAAAACTAGCTAACTTAGAAACCAAGTAACTAAATCCCCCATGCAACACTAAGTTATGAGAATAATATTCTGCTTTGGTTGAAGATATTGCAACCATAGGCGGATTTAGTATGGATCCCGGGGTATTCCTGAATGTCCTTCAAAAAAAAATTAGTAGTGTAAATTTTTTCGGAAAAATTCGTTTTATGTTGCGGTTATACTTATGGAAAAAATCGGGCTATTCTAAAAAAAATTCATGCTATTTCTAAATTATCCAAAATACAAACTAGCCCAAATGGTCCAAAATTTTTAAGCCCACACCAACTAATTTAATGAAACAAAGAGTTACAAGCCCAATTAGTTTAATAAAAAAAAATCAACGTCTTCAGCTTCTACCTTTTGATCGTCGACTTCTTTTGTGTCGACTCGTTTCTGCCTTCTGTGATCGTCCTCTCCCTTGCGCAAGTTGACCTGCTCCTCCTGTCGATGACCTATTCTAGCGACCTCCTCCGGTGGTGAGTAATCAAACTCATCAAAGTCCACAATGAGACAAGTAATTATTAAAAAAAATATACTCAATCCTATTATCTATTGTTAGGTTAATTTAAATTCCAATTTTTTGTCATTATGTTGAAAATTTAGAAATTACCAATTACGTTTGTTAAATTAGGGACTTAGGGTTAATAATTAGTGATTATTTGTTGTTGAAACTTAAAATCAAGTTATAGTTGATATATTTTGTTGGTGGAAACTGGGAAGCACCTCTTTTCCTTTGGTTTATAGATTATTAAAACTAACTTTGGTTTTGCCCGTCCCAACCGCAACCGTTGAACAGTGTTTTTCTGCAATGAAGTTCTTGAAGACCGATTTGCGTAATAGAATATGTGATGATTTTATGAATGATGCTTTGATTTGTAGTGTAGAAAAGGAAGCACTAGAGAATGTTAAGACTGAAAATGTAGTTACTCGTTTTTGTAAAGTGAAAGAGCGAAGAGGCGAACTTTAAAACGTAACTTTGTTATGGAAGTTGAACTTCATGTCTAATGAAATTGTGGTTTTTATTTTTTTCTTATTGTATATTACACTATTTTTTTTAGGATACCTCTATACTTTGACCCTGATTCCGCCACTGATTGCAACATTTGTTTCTAAGGATATCCAAATAAAAGCACAAACTCCATTAGTATTATTTTTTCTATTAAGCAAGGATCCATCATCCAGTGTGATCCAAATCCATGAATTAGGTTACCTCAAGATCCAAACTTCATCGATATTTTTTTGTATTGGTATCCGCTACGGCGAATCCATAATTTTGAAATGTTGGGGGCACTCAATGTAAAAACCATTGGGGGCATGTGCCCCCAAACCCTCTTCTTAAATCCGCCCGTGTTGTTGTCCTACACTTCATCGAGAGGCTAGACTGGCTTGATTTGTTTTATAAAGCATGGAATATGATGCCTAAACTTGAACCTGGATCTTACGTATGTATTCTGATCATCTCTTAGTTTGTCAAACATGTGGAGCCCATGACTATTTCTTAGCTTCTTTCTGTAAACATTGATAACAATGGCTCTTGACTAGGTATATTATTCCTTTAATATGATTCTTTCCAATAATTTAATTCGATTCACAGATATTTTTTTTGTCAACTTCATAACATAAAACGACACATCATTAATTAATGTTACCAACATCTTATTCATGCATCTATATATGTTATATATTATGCCACGTCATTATATACAATTATTATTATATTATTGACTATATCTTTTAGGCAGGTTCAAAAGGTTAAAGATGAATCATTTATATCTTTTGTACACGACGAAAGGTCAAGAGCAAGTCATGTCTCATCACGTTTTGATTTTATTTTATTTTATTAACATAAGTTTCAGTTTCAATAGTTTCAATTTCATTATACAATCCAATTCACTCCAAATACAATGCGTAGTATTATGTTATGTTGTATCATATATTCATATTCTAACTTCCTAAGTAACAAACAGAATGAGACTTAATGCTACAAAATATAGTTAATATACAACGGAACAAGATAGCAGAAAGCAATCGTGACAAAAAAAAAAGTAATAAATAATGAAATTTTACATATCATATGTCATTTCATTAATCTATAGTTAATATAAAGTTGTTATAAATCTTAGGGTTCAATGTAAGAAATAACAGTGCAGATACACTTATTTGTTTATTATAAGCCTTCAACTTTAATTTTATGCCTACTACAACAACATACTTTATAAAATCTACTCAATTATAGAAAATGTCATCCAAATACAAAACAATTTTTACTTCAAATAGATGTTTCAAAATACAATGTCTTGATATAAAAAAAACTGAAAGTACAGTGCCATAACAGGGTAGATGTCTCAAAGTATGATGTGTAAAGTACAATGTTTTAATAGAAACAAATAAAAGTAGGATGATGTAGTGTTAACAAATAAATGGAAGTATGTTGCTTCTTTTTGCATTTACGCCTTTATTATAAGCATTCTACTTCCATTTTCTTTATGTTACGGACTTACGGTATTGTACTTTACTAAAATCTACTCAATTACCACTTTTATAATTAAATAAAAATTTCTCTATATAGTGTCCCAATAAAAAAAGATTGAAAGTACAATGTTGTAACTTTATAGATTTTTCAAACTACAATTCCTAAATAAGAAAAATTGAAAATACGAGCATATAATAGAAAGAAATGAAAGTAGGATGCTAATGAAAGCACATTGCTATTTCTTGCCATTTATCCCTATTCTTATCTTACACGTTTTTTAATGTCTAGATACACTACAAAATCTACAAACGAAACAACATAAAATAAATAAATGAAAGTAGGATGCTATAATAAACAAGTCTTATCTTGCATCCATTGAGTAGGGCCACCTTTTTCTTTTTCACATGCCTCCACTCATTGGAATCTTTTTATCCCAATTTTCAACTTTTTCAATTATGGTGAGTGTACAAAAGGTCAGCCAACATAATCTTCCCACAATTTCCAGCATCGAGTCGATCAAATATTTTGCATATTTGTAATATGTCTTTCTCCGAGACTTTTCCCATTTCTTTTAGCTTGTATATCACAAACTCCGACTTGCTGAAACAATCAACACATTTAAAATCAAAATCTTGCAATGACAGATATCACAGGCTGTACTGCGTTTGACATGAAGACTTGGACTGCGACTGATGTCAGCGGGACAAGCATTGGATTTCACCATTCAAAGAGGATGGGAGAAATTCAATTCAATTCTCCGTTTTTATCAAAAGACCAAAATACCCTTGTTAGGTATCAATTTAACTTTTCGAAAAAAAGGAAAATTACATGTGCTTACAATACAAAAAATTATCTAATTTTTTATATTGAAATTCATTCAAATTTACCAACCACCCGATCCCAATTTTCTCGATTCCATTCCTTCTAACTCATTTTATCTAAATTATACGACTCATAACAAACCCTAAACACCACATACCATGATTCATAGTTTCATACTACAATACTAACAACAAAACATCATCAAATCCAACAAAAATAACCACATTAAAGAAAAATAACTTACCTCACATAGCCATTATTATCAATATCAGCTGCAAGAAACTGAGAAACAGTCAAACCTTGATCAAGAACCCATTTCGCCATTTTCCTATGTCTTTTATCAACCCTAGCTTCAGCCAAATAAAGAAAAGCCCTAGCTACTGCAAGAGTTGACACAAGCAACCAAATCGATGCAAAAATCCTTCCCGCCATTGTTCTAAATGCTCTATCACCATACCCAACTGTAGTAACCGACATAACTGACAAATAAAACGAATCCAGCCAATCCAATCGCTCCACGTAATGCAACACAACAACACCAACACCGATACAAAGAATCACAACCCCTAAAGCTAACCCTACTTTCATTCGAATCCTCATGCGACCCTTTTTCACATCGATTATGTAAGAAGGGTGATCTTGATTGTTTCCGTTTTTTAAAGATTGGAGTAGATGATTCTCTTGTAAATCAAGAACGTAGCTCACCATTCCGCTAAGTAAAATATCGATAAACCCGAATCCGATTAACACAAACAGGATTGAGAAGAGTTTAGTGACGAGGTTGTTTGGAGTTATGTCGCCGTATCCTATTGTGCACATTGTTACTATGCAGAAGTAAAGAGCGTCGACGACGACATGGGTTTCTGAAGCGACGAAATGGTCTCTGTTGTACCAGTAGATGATTACGCCGAGGGATAAGTAGAGGATTAAGAGTAGAACTGCTTGACGAACGATGGATGATGAAGATGATTGTGGTGGTTTGGATTCTGATGGGGGTTCGAGGTCGTTGATGGCAGCCATGGCGGGGGCGGTTTTTGAGCGGTGGAGATTGGTTTTCCCAAATGAGTAATTGGGATCGATTAACCATGATTGGGGTGTCGAAATTGGTTGTTGATCGGAAATTGAATTGAAATCGGAAGAAAACGATCTCTGGGGAGGGTTGTTCAAGGTCGAAACTAAGGCGTCAACAATGGTGGAAGATGGTTCTTTTGGGGAACCGAAGATGAGTATATCCTTGAGTTCTGAAGGAGTTAAAGATAAAGGGATTGAGATTTCGTTATCTTCAGGGAGAGTGCAAAGAGGGGTCGGCGTTCTCGGCGTTGACGTGTTTGTCGGAAGAAGTGGTTCTTTATCCATGGTGGGTTCGCCGGAAAACCGCTTCAATTCAAGAAATCAGTGGTTTCAGCCTTTCACGTCGCATATGGTGGTTTCCCGATATGGGTAATACAAGAACACGAAAATCTTGAAATTGAAAACCTTTATGAGTTAAGATTTACCAGTGAAGTGATTCGAGAGACGCTCCGATTCTTGAATTGAATCAGAAGATTCGTTGTGAAGGTGTAGGATTATGAATTGAATCTTCTGAATCGAGATCGACGGAGGAAAAAGGGGGAGGACTGAAAAATGGAAGACCACAAGAAATAAGTATTAAATTGAGAGGAAAACGAACTGGGTCAACTTTGATCCAAACATATAATTAGGGGTAACCACGTACCATGAGATTCGACATCTGTCTCTCTCGAATAATATAGTACGCAAATCTTTGTGTGTAAGCAGCAAAGGATACAAAGATCATAGAACATAAACATGAAGTAGTGCACATACACGTGCACTTCGTTATTGCACAAATTTCACAATGGGTGTGGTTCAATAAAAGCAATTCTTCAGACTGGTATAGATAGTGGGTTACTGGGTTACCTTGAGGTGCTCAGCCAAACCGGGCCCCAAATTTCGACCCGCATCCCAGTGAAAGAAATTCTATCACATTTATTACATTATTATTTCTTTTATTAATTTAATTATATAAAAAATATAAATAATTCAAAAACTAAAAAAACGAAAGATGTGATGATTACATTATTATTAATTTTAATTATATGAAAAATACAAAAAATAAAATAAATATATTTTTTTAATTTCTTGGTTTTTATTGGTTCATCTGGACCGGTTTTTACCGGTTCACAACACAGATAGTTTTTTGGCCTCTAAAAATCAGATGTGGGACTGGTTCTTGGTCAAACCGGTTGAATCGGCCGGTTCGGTCCGGTTTTCAAAACATGGAGATACGCTACTTACTGGTTCTGAGATTATACATGATACAACTGAAAAGATTGTCTAGATTCGGGACAGAATGAAGGGCGCACGTGACCGTCAGAAAAGTTGTGTTGACCGTCGACGCAAGCCTTTAGAATTTAAGGTTGGAGACCAAGTTATGTTGAAAGTTTCTCCTTGGAAAGGAGTGATATGATTTGGAAAGCGAGGCAAGCTAAACTCACGATACATATGACCATTTTAAACTCTAAAGAGAATTGGTCATATTGCTTACCGACTCAAGTTGTCTCAGGAACTTAATAATGTGCATGATACATTTCACGTGTCAAATCTCAAAAAGTGGCGGTCACTAGTGACTCAGAAACAGAAGCAACAGAAACTCAAACTATAGTAAGGAGAATTCCATCTTATTTGTAGGATTATACCAGCGAAGATGATTTGTCAAATGATGAGTTTGAAGCTAATATGGATGTAATCGGATTCAATGATCCGATTACATATAAAGAAGCAACTAAAATTGAAGAATGGAGAAATGATATGGATGTCGAGATCGATGCAATAAAAATATTATGACATTGTCACTAGTAGATCTACCAACTGGCTCCACAACCATAGGAGTCAAGTGGATTTACAAAACCAAGTTCAATAAACATGGGGAGGTGAATAAGTTCAAGGATCGCTTAGTGGCTAAGAGTTACTCACAAAAGCATGGAATTGACTATACCGAAGTTTTTATGCTTGTTGGAGGATGGAAATAGTAAGGACGACAACATCATTCACAACTCAAAAGGGTAGGAAACTTCTTCAAATGGATGTAAAGTCTGTGTTCCTCCTTGGCGAGTTAAATGAAAGTGTGCATGTTTGATCAACCAAAAGGATATTAGAAGAAAGGCAAGGAGCACAAGTTTTACAAACTCCATAAAGCTTTGTATGGACTAAAACATGTACCACAAGCCTAGTTTCGTCGCATAGAAGCTTGGTTCATCAATGAAAGATTTACAAGATGTGAAAATGAGCAAACCCTATTTACTAGGAAAAACAAAGAAGGTAAACTACTAATCATAATATGTCGATGTTTAGATATATACATGAGATGATGAGGTTGTTTTGAGAGAATTTACAACCTCAATGATGAAATCCTTTAAAATGACAGATTTGGGAATAATGAAATTCTTTCGTGGAACTGAATTTTCTCAGACTAAAGAAGGGATATTTTTATTTCAAAAGGCCTATGCTCAAGAAGTTCTAATGGAAGAATATAATCAAGTTAAAAATGCCTGGTCATATACTTAACAAAGATGAAATTGGGTTAAAAGTGAATGAGACATACTTATAGAAAATGGTGGGAAGCTTGATGTACATCACAACAACATTTCCAAACTTGATGGTGTTAAGATGAAATTGGGTTAAAAGTGAATGAGACATACTTACAGAAAATGGTGGGAAGCTTGATGTACATCACAACAACATGTCCATACCTGATGTTCAATGTAAGTTTTATTAGCAGATACATGGCTAATCCAATTGAAATGCACTTGTTGGCAGCTAAAATGATATTTAGGTATTTAAAAGGAAGTTGGAACTATGGGATTTTGTATAAAAATGAAGGAATAGAAGGACAAAAAACCTATATAGATAGCGACTACGTTGAAGATGTGGAAGACAGAAAAAGCACATTTGGATATGTATTTCCACCTGGGTCAAGTGTCATGTCATGGGCTTCCAAAAACAATCAATTGTGGTACTATCAACAACAAAAGCTGAATTTGTTGGAGCTGTTGGGTGTACAAGTCAAGCTATATGGATGAGAATAATACTAGAAATGTTTGGTCAAGATCAAGGAAAGTCCACCTCTATTTACTTTGACAACTCTTCAACTATCAAGCTGTCAAAAAAATTTAAGTTATGCATGGAAGAAGCATGCACGTTGATGTGAGATTTCACTTCGTATGTGATCTTACAAACGAATGGTCGATCAAACTTGTGACATCCCCATTTTCACGGCCAGAAAAGACCGATTTTGTTTATGCTTTATAGAAATCAGAGTACCTCTTTTAATAAAAATGTTGCAAAATTTGTTCCCAGAAAAACATGATAAATACGTTATCAAAGCATTTCTGAAGAAATGTATTTTTTTAGAACATTTGGGATGTCATCGTCAATACAGAAAAATAAGCATAAACAAAACTTACATTCATTTACACTAGTGATCTACATCTCTTTAATCTCTCAGTGTAATGTAACTTCATATCGATACCTGTGATACAAATAAGCTTGAGTGGGTCAGGTTGGGAAACCTAGTGAGTACATAGGGTTTTCAACCCAAAATAATATATTTATTATGTTTAAACATCAAACAATCAACCCAAATACCCATCCCTATTTTTTCTTTACTCTTAAGGATCTACCCTAAGAATCAGCTATTCCTCGTTCATTCATTCCTAAGGATTATCCTAAGGAATCGGCACGAAGTCCATCGTTTCCACAGTTTACACAACATACACTAAGTCTGCATAGTCGCCAGGGCTTAGGCACTAAGTCTGCATAGTCGCCAGGGTTTAGACACTAAGTCTGCATAGTCGCCAGAGTTTAGAGTACACCGGGTGAACACATCGTTCACAACACCTATAGGTTGCGAGCCTGCTAGTGTTCCACTGGACTGTCTAGAATAGTCTGTGGTTGTCATCCATACTCTGCTAGATGATGGGGCCATCGCTTGGTTCATCACTTAGGTCATCGCTTGGCTCATCGCTTAGGTCCTCGCTTCTCACCATATTTTTCCACTCATATATCATCGCTCATCATTCATCTCATCTTTCATCGCTCATCATTTATCTCATCTCTAATCTACCCATCTTTTACCCAACATATTTTGTAGATATAAAATACATATACAGTTTATATCATTTAAAACATGTATAAAATCGTTCATCTAACATAGACAGCAAGTATTCAGATAATATGCACACATAGCACGTAGTTTATATAAAATACTTCATATCTATGTGTAAGATGAAGGTAACTATGCACTTACCTGAAAAGGTGGTGACTCGGTACTCGGACAATGCTTCGTTTACTTAAAACAACTTCTTTTGACAAAACCTAGTATCATTATGTCACAACTGGCATTTTTAGCCAGGAAATTTTGTGATCATGTAAACATCATCTATGATAATACTTGTAACCCTAACTTAATACCATGCACTATGTTCATTCTATGACAACAAACTTAATCAAAATTCACAAGTGAAGTTCAAAACTCTATACAAAGTATCCAAATAGTCAATAATGAGTTGAAAACCCTAAAAAAAATCCAGGTTCAAGCTTATTATGGACTAGGGTTTCCTTATTGGGCCTAATGGACCAATAAGCATCCAATCTGACTATCTTGGGCTTAGAACCCTTAAATGGACTCTAACTGGACCCACATTCATAAAACCTAACGTTTTGGGCCATAATGGTCCTAAAATGGATTAGTTTACTTTAATGGGCCTTATTGGGCCATAACAACTCCAATCACTCTAAAGAGCCATAAAACTACATACGGGACTTTCATTGGGCCGTGAACACACCTAAAGGCCCAATGGGCCGAAAGCCTCTTTCTATGGGCCTCATAAACTCGAACCAAATCAAGAAAAGGCCAAAGCCCCTCCATTCTTTCCCTTTCTCGGCCCACTAGATGTGTATATTCATATACATGAAAAAAAAGGGAAAATAAGAGAATTACCATGCATTGAAACATCACAATTGCATGGTGGTTCTCCATGCTAATTACCCATTAAGCAAATACAAAGCTCATACTCCTAAGCATCCATCACATCTTCTCTCCCCTCTCTTCTTATCCTCTCGGCCGAGAGCTAGCAACACACACACACACACACACACACAAACTTTCAAATTCTCTCCAAACACTTCCAAGATCATCCTCCTTCTTCTACCAAGGATCTCGAATTTTTGCTTGTGTTTCAAGGATCTTCATCAAGTGTTTTCAACCTTTGGTAAGTTGTTATCAAACATAAACATCTTCTTCCATTTTAACATTAAGAACTCCTTCTTACATAGCCTTACTCCATGATCATGCTCTTAGAAACTTCCTAAGTTCGAAAATCACTCAAGAAGGCTTCCTAAAGGCCAAGATCTCTCCATTTCTTCTTCAAAACCGAGAACAACAAGCAAAGGTGAGTTCATACCCCCTTGTTTTCGGTTTTTATATGTTTTTGGGGGAGAATACAAGTATTTATGTGTAGATCTATACATTTATGCATGCTATGTGTGATTTTTCTTGACTTTTGTTGTGTTTGTGTGCTAAACTCGATGGATCTATAAAACTCTAACAAAAACAAGTGAGATTATTAAACAAAAACACCCTAGACATCATACTACAAAGTTAAAAGTATCATAAATGCCTAAGTTGTGAAAAACAAAACAAGATCTTGTGTAAGAATCATTTTTGGCAAATAAACAAACGTTTGGGGTCAAGAGTGACACCCACGGTTTTTATAAGGGCTAAAAGGGTATTATTAGCTTAAAAAGGAGCTTTTATAACAACCATATTTTCCTAAGGGTCAAAAGTGTAAAATTTGGCATTTTGGGCCTT